CCTAAAAATAACCACTACACAGCCTCTTTGGTAGTAACTGGCTCATAACTTTTTGTTAGTTTTCATGTTCCCAAAGCCAAAAATTAGTTTTGAATTTTTTTCAACTTTACTATTAATACAAAGAATATGTATAAAACACACATACAATCTCCTTCACTTTGACCAAGAAATTTTTGGTAGTTTTTTTAAAGACAATTCCCCAGTACCTTCATATTCCAAAGAACTCTCCCTTACTTGCTATGCATATTTAGGTAATAATGATAGCTAAACCCTTGGAAAAGACTTTTATTATGGGCTGAGTTGCACATGAACTCATCAGGGCAATACCATAAGACAAGGTTTATTGTTATCCTCATTTATTAAGGGGAACACAGGCACAAACAGATGAATTACACTGCCTCTGATCAAGTACCAAACTAGTGATTTGAGGATTCAAGCTATGCCAATAGTATCCAAATGCTTTCTTACCACTTGATGACAAAGTTATCAATACAGAAAAAATTAAAAATATGAAGTGGTTTGTGTGCATGGTGAGGATTGAAACTGTGGCCTGTGCAGAGTTATACCCCCAGCCCTTTTAATTGTGAGACAGGGTCTCACCTAATTCACTAGTTGTCCAGGATGGGCTCAAACTTGTCATCATCCTGACACAGCTCATCAGCTGGAATCACAAAGACTAAGCTACCATGACTGACTGAAAATGATAACAGTTATTGCTACCTTGAAGACAAAAATGAAAGTTGCTCACAGAAGAGCCTATGTAGACCAAAAGAGAAAACATTGAATGTTTCTGTCTTAGCTTTGTACTGTACTTAATAATAAAAATTTGAGCCTTGTGAAAGTCCAGTGAAGATTTAGACCCTCTGGAGTCCAATATCACAATTTTACTTGGCAGTGCTAACAATGTTGGGCTGTTTCCTTCTAAGACATCTCTGGGAATTAACAAGACAAGTGTACAAAAACCAGCAGAAATCACCTAATCCAGTTCTGTCACTTTGTCTAAGCATACAGAAACCCAGAGGAATACATAATGTGACATACACTAGCTCATGTCAGAACTGGGGAAAAAGCCCAAGATCTGACTTCTTTGTATTACACAACTGAGTATCTGCAATCCAGATGTAACTAAATACAACCACAATTGCCAGAAATACATGTCCAACATCCTACTTTTCACCCACTTTCTTCCCCTTTCAAAACCTAGTAACAGCAACAATAAAATTATCTTATTCAATAAATATTTAACATGTACTGTGTGCAAGGAACAGCACAGCATTGTTCTCTACATACAGCACTTCATACAGGACTTCTGCACAAAACTTGAAAATAAGTTAGTCCAGCACTAAGCTCACAGTACAATAGTGGAGGTTTGGGGCACTAAATACGGTATCTGTGTAATGAAGTACTATTAAGATCTAAAAAGTACTTCCAGCTGAGCCTCATAGCACACATCTGTGATATTAGCTACTTGGGAAAGCTGAGCGGTAGGGACAGGAGAAAAGCACGTTCAAGGCCAGCCTGGACAGCACAGCACGACTGTACATCTCAAATTTTTAAAAAATGACCAGGAATGTAGCCCAGTAAAAAGTACTAGCCCAGAAGGGAGGCTCTGAAATTCAATCCACAACACTGCAAGGTGACATATTATACACACACACACGCACACATATACATAATTTGTGTGTATATATATGGAGGAAACAAGTTATAGGTAAGGCTTGAAGCATGAACTTTGAGAAGGTGTTGGGCACATCAGAGGGGGAGTGACAAAAACAAAGGTCCTAATGTAAGTCACAGGTCCTAGCTGAAGTATAGTATCCATACAGTTGTGTCATCAGGCACAGTAGCGAACAAGCTTAGATAAATAGGAGTCATACTGAAGCAATGTTATACTCTGCTGAAATGTTCAGATTTAGTTGCTTTACTCAGTGAATACAGTGATCCACTGAAGATTTCTGAGAAAAATGACCCAAACTGGGACTGTATGTAAGATTAATTTAAAAGGGAAATACTGGACAAATATAGAATGATTTAGGCAGCTACTACAAACCAGATTACAAACAGAATGAGACTGAATAAAGGGGAAAGCTATAGGGAAAAACTAATGCATTACAGAAGAAAACCTAGTGTGCTTTACAGCTGACTCAACACAGAAGGGGAGAAACAATGCTAAGTCTCTGATGGGAAAGAGATGAAGGTAAGAGAAAACAGGCAATGTAAGCTAAAGGGTAAGCCAGACCTAATCTGTTTAAAGGTTACACTCTAGTGAATGTGAAGTTTTTAGAACCTGATACAAAAAGCCACACCACCATTGTACCATCGGCTCACCATCCCTGCTGTAAACCTATGAGGAAACTGTCTTACTTCCGAAAAGTAAAACTTCTCTCAGTAAAATAAGTCTAATAGGTAATAACACACAGATTACAGTATGCAAAAAATTTCCAAGCAGTGGAATTTGAAAATCAGATGCTTCTTATACATAAAATACTTTTAAAAACATAAGAATAAATGTTACTAGAACACATATTCCAAGTCTTGTCATTTTAAGACACTAAGAGTATGTTAACAATTTTTAATGACCTCAAAATTATTCAATGAGGGGCTGGTGAGATGGCTCAGTGGTCTAAAGCACCTACTTAGAACAAGATTAGCAAAGCACAGGGACCCTGGGTCAATCCCCCAGCACCACATGCCAGCCCCGCCCCCAGGTGGGCTGAGCTGGCCACACACACACACACACACACACACACAAATAAATAAATTTAAAAAAAATTATTCAATGAATCAGCAGTAAAATGCAGCTACTAAGTATTAGTAGACAAGAATATAACCAATCCATCATATACAGTATATCAAAACTGTATAGACTGGTTCAATTAGGCAAAAGATGTTGAGTTTTAAATACTAATTTCTGATGAAATTAAATCCATGTGTTCTTTTTCCCTAGCAATTAATAAGCAAAATAGGAGCTCCTTGAGTGGAGTTTACACACTAGATAACACAAACCCTTGATGTTTTGCATTTAGGAAACCTCTGATAAAGGAAATAAACAGAATTCAACCAAGGAATATTTTCCAAGTATATAGTGCTTTCATAACTTGGTATTACACAAGAGCAAAGAACTTATGATCTAGTCTTTAAGTGCCTACTATTCAACAGGTAATGGGAGTTACGAAATGACTAATATGACTCCTCCTTTCTTTTTCTAATAAGTCAAAAACACGATGGACTTCAAGAGAAAAATAATTTGCATGACCATCAGTGAGCCTCTTACTTCAAGTTTCTGGCTTCTCTTCTGAAAAATGGATGAGAACCCAACAGAAAAGAGTGGGAGAGCATTGCAATGTACGGCACAGTCTAATGCATGCCAGATGGCTTTCTGCAGAATTTATCACACCCTGATCAGACACTTCATGTACTAGCAAATACTATGCAAGCATTCAGCTGACCCAACGTGCCACCACCCTGCCACCACCAGGAAAAACCCTGTACACAAACAGCCTACAGACAGGAAGGAGGTCAGAATACAATCTTCACACAAAAACACAACCTAAACAATCACGTGTAAACTCATCACACAAATTATTAAAAATCAGAAATTTTAATTTCCTAAGTTTTGTTTAGAAAATTCATGTAACTGTAACTCGAGACATAAGACATAATACTTCTAAAAAGACAAACTTCCCAAACAATAAAATAATGCAAGTATGGTTTGGACATAATACCTCCACCACAGACTAAGATGAGTGCAAACAAAGGCAAAAAACCCTGAACTTTCAAAACCTTGAACTTCTGAAATAAGTTAATAAACTTGGGGAGGAGTTAGGAGTTAAGTGCTTCAACTGAGCTGTTTCTAACTGCACAGAAATTATGTTCCCAAGAAGACAACTATAATTCATACCATTATTTTCTTAACCACCTACATGAATCCCTAAAACACAAAATGAGTAACTGGAACCAGCATTTCTTTGCAGAATATGCCAATCAATACCATATTCTCCAAGTAGGCAAGTTCAAAACCACCTAAAATCCTCTGATTATAAAGATAAGGACTGGTCAGATAGCTCAGCGGATTAAAGCGCCTGCTTAGCCAGACGCAGCAGTCAGGGTTTGATTCCAGGGGCACAGTGAGAATGCGACCAAGTCCAGGCGTGGTGGTGCACACCTATAATCCCAATGCTTGGGAAGCTAAAAACCGGAGGATCACTACAAGTCTGATCTGTGTAGTGAGATCCTGACTAATTACATAATAAATAAATAATAAGTGGATGGATGGATGGATGAATGAATGAATGAATGATGAGGGCTGGGGATATAGCTCAGCGGGACAAGCACCTGTTTAGCAAGCACAAAGTCCTGAGTTCAATTCCCATTACCAAAAAAACCCCAAGATTGTGTGAAGAGCATTTCTGTGCTGTTGATGGTACTTCTACTAAATTATCTAAGACAACACACAAACATGAAACCCTGGCACCACCTATTTTATATAGAATTTATATCACAAAGAAATCTTTATCATATAGCCTCACGCTTTCTTGTGACAGCTTTGTGTTTCAATCGTTTACTGCTTTTCATTTAAGTTTGGGGAAAAAAATAAAAGCATAAATAACAAGAGATTTAAAGCTATTTTTCAGAAATGTAATTTTTAAAAACCTTGTCAGCAGGGGAGACAGCTCAGAGGCATAAATGCCTGCCTGGCAAGCACAAGGTCCTGAGTTCAATCCCCTTGGGTGGGGAGCCACAAACAAGACTTTTCATTTTTGGAGCAATAAACATAGAATGTTCTTAAACTCTAACAAGTTCAAATTCAAGGAATTCTTTTAAAGCCAGGTGTGGTGGCACAGCTCTGTAATCCCAGCACAAAAGAGGGAGGCTTTGAGTTTGAAGGCAGCCTGGGTTACAAAGTGAGTTCAAGGCCACCCTAACTACAAAGTAAAACTCTTCAGTTGTTAAAATTTTTAAAGAGCCTATTACTCAAATTTTGCATTAAATGCACTTACCTTCTGCTACATCATCATCTACTGCTCCTTTCACCTGAGAAAAACACCACTGGATATCATTCCCTCCTCCAGCTCCTGGAAAAAGACAACATACCAATTAAAACAGTTCTGTTCATGTTTATCTCATAAACACAGAGATGGTATCCATGGCTGGCATGATCCTAACAGCCTGGTACTACCCACATACAACCACCACCACGCGCACAAACTTGGGAAAAGGTTGCTTCCCAGCAGTTAGTTGGTAACACATTAAAAACAAGCTTCCAGGTCTACAATAAAGACACCTTATCCATCATTATCACTGTGTACATATTTGAAACTTTCATTTTTCCTTCCCCCTGAATATATTACATTTAAGCAAGACCTACCAGAAAAAAGTAAATAAAAATTAGATCGTTTTCCTTTAAGAGTACAAAAAGCCCACAGAAGACTTAGTAAGATTCAACTACCATGAAACACAGAAGGAAAAGAATATTTCAAGAACATTACTGCCTCAATGGAGTAATGATTCATAAGAACCTTATCGCCAAAATGCGCACCCAGCAACACGACACCCATTCCTCTGCATTCATTACCAGCAAATCACTGGCTCCAGACAGGAAAAGGGAAACGAATGCCGCCGAGGAGTCGGTCAAAGGAAGCTTGTTCTGCCTCCTACACCTATCCCTAAGAAGTCTAAAGACTCAGCAAAGAATTCTATCTAATTTGTCATCTTCTTGGGCAAAACAATTTGAATCTCATTTCATCATTCAACAAGGTCAAACGCAACTTGTTTACAGCAAACTTAAGTAGATCGCTGTGTATTTTTAAAGGTTCCACTACCTACTTAAATGTTGGGGTTAGGGGAGTCACCAAAAAGGGGCTTTATCCTTGGATGTCTACAGCACTTCCAAAACACTGAGGAGGAAATGGAAAAATGTCCCCAACCTATGGATCTAGACTGCATTTTACTAGTTAAAGGAGGATATCTGCAACATCAAAATGTACAAAAATAACCCTCAAAGGACTTCTCCTTCTCCCCCATTCCCTCTAAGTATTTCCAACCTAGTTTTCTCCATACATTCTTTTGCAAGCTTTTACAAAATCGCACTTCCTTTGGCTATTTATATCATCGAACTCCACAACTATTTTAACTAACTTCACGAAACCCTTTTGGGAAAAGGACATCTGCACAAAAGCTACCATGCAGAACAGAAAGTTTAAATTATGTTTTTCATGCAATGCGCTCCATATTAAAGGCCTCGCACTCTTTGGTCGTAGAGGGTAAGAAACAGAAGGGAGCTCGCTCGGAAAAAATAAATTCAGGCCTGTAGCCTCAAACATTTCAGTACCCATAGTGCGGGGCGGTGATGGGGTGGGGGACACACATTCGCCTCCATTGTACATTAACTTGCAAAACGCTCTTCCCTCAGTGCCACATACATGTGACTACAGCCCCAGAAGGTCTGTAGGGGGTAGGGTGGCAGGAATCGAAGGAAGGAAGACGAGCAAGCGAGCGGGGGCAGGCAGGTGGCGGCGCGGACTGCAGCGCCCGGCCGCCCCACCCCCGTCGCCCGGCCGCCCCC